ACCCTTAAAATTAGTTACGTATTAGTTTTATAATGGATTGGTTTTTATTTTATTAATAAATTGTTTACTTTTTAGTACTACGACATATAATAAATAACGACTTCTTTAGTAATTTTCATCGTTACACTAAATGAATATTAATGTGTATCATTTTGGTTAAACTTGAAGTAACTAAACATAGACAAATATTAATTTTCTTTTTCGTGATATTTCCTCTAAGCAATGTTGTAAAAGCAAGAAGAAGTACCAAAGGAACTTTTTTGGAATTAAGTTCCGGATTTGAAGTAGAAGTTTAACTTTTATTTATCCCAATTCTTAACTAAAACTACGTAAAAATAAAAATAAACAGTAATTGGGCCTTTCTTACTGATATTAGAATAAATTGCATAATTCTTAGATTTACGATTAAGTAAAAATAATATTACACTTGTGATGCTGGTATTGGAGTATTCTAAATACGATTCATTGAATTAGCAGAGTTCTAGTACTTCAATTAGAAACATACTTTTTGGGAATTTATTTATAAAGATATGTCAAAAATCCAAGACGGAATATCACTCGGGTCCGGCGACGTACAACTACAGTCATTACCCCCATTTTGTACATCATACCATGCATGGATTATTAGCAATAAATCGTGTTGTTGATAAACTCAATATCACTAAAAGCAAACATTGCATTACATTTACAGATTTAGAATCTCAGGTTACGAAAAAATCTTTTTAAACGATTGTTTTATCGTACCCATTGGTTACCGATGCGTTAATGCATTTCAAAATATCGATGGATGAAAGGTCTAATTTCTGTGGCCACCAGTTCACTTTGGTGTTCAAAGGAATGGATATGCCGATACAACGGCAAAAAAAAAAATTAAATAAGGAATTACAGTAAAATATTTAAAAAGAAATAATTGCTTTGGATAAAAAAAAAAAAATCAAAGCATTCTTGCCTTTGGTAGTGAGGAAGCAAAAGGCGCATGAGAAATATTTTTAGTTTGATTTTAGAGAAAATAAATAAAGGACAGTAGAACCCTCTGTAGAACGATATAGATAGACACTGTGGTTTAATCAAGAGCGAACTAATATATCTGGAAAAAAAGGTAATCTGAATCTAAAAACGGGTAATCTAGATGACACAAAATATTAAAGTAATCAGGTCTGTTTCTTAATATAAACAATAAAAAAATTTAACTTTCTACCTATATCTCGTAAACTGTACTTTTTTTTAGAAAATTGCAATAAAAAATTAAAAATTCTCTAAGCTTTACAAACACACTTTCGTAAGGCTTTTCGCTTTGTTCGACCAAGCATAAAAGGAACCGAATCCATAAAAGTAATAGAATGAAAATTCTGGCTCTTTACATCCGATTTCCATAAAAACTGTCACTCTGTGCTTCTTTTGAGCAGACATGCACTGAAAATTAAATGAAACAAAACAAAAATATGATAAACGAAGAGTACATTCTAATATAGTATCTTTGAACCAGCATCACTATTACAGCTAAATGACATCAAGAGGACCATAGGAAATTTATAATCTTTACACACTTTGGAATAAACAATTCTAACAAAGGCCTCTTAAATCTATGAATTTGATTCACTGCATCCAACTAGATCAATTCGTTGATCAACTTTATGAAGAAAAAAAAAGTATTTCAGACCGTGCTCTCCTAAAGTAGACATCTAACATCATTCAACTAACTGAACCTATTGGTTTTCTTAGACTTTCTGTCTATCGTTTCGAGATAATTATTAGCTATAGTATAACATTATAAAAAAAAATAAGATATTTGTATAAATTAGTTTGCTGACTTGGTATTTCCTCCTAAGCGACATTATAAAAACAAATTTATAATTTTTTTATGATAGTGAATTAATAGTTTACTGTTATGGATGTATTCAAGAGGAGTTGGTTGGGGTGTGCAATTACAAGACACAAAGTAAATGTAACGAAATTATATTTTAAATTATAAGTTTTAGCCGTCGTGTTGGCCCAAGTTTCAGGTCTTCATCAGTACTGCTCTCACTGTCTTACGGATCTTTTCCAAGAGCAGCTTTAAAACTTCTCTTGATTATAATTTTTTTAAATTAAATAATTATACAAATCGGTCTCGGCTAATTTTTCAAAATATTAAACTTGCAAGAGCTTATTTGAATATTTCATAGCAAAAGGAGTGATAAAGAAAAATAGCTATAATATTGCTCATGCTTGTTACAGTATGAATTCATTTTTCGCCATCCGTCAGGATAGAAGACAATTGTAATACCAATTCATTTCTCCTTGAGAAGAAGATGAGGCCCAACATCTAGAAGGTCGCCGGACAGAGGAGGAGCAGAGGAAGACCGAAACCAAGACCAAGCTTAAAGAAATACGATCAAGCTTTAAATCCAGCTGACTGAAATCATGAAAATTGTATTATTATTTTTCTAGAAGCAATGTGTTGTTTTAGACCGACAGACGTAATATCTCACTGCAATAACCCGTACTGCCTATCAGACAAAGTAGAGATATAAATTAATAATAAAAAAATTGTCGTCTACTTTTGTGTTTTTTATAAATATTAATGGCATGTTTAATAAATAGAAGCATAACATTGTTACTCTGTGTAGAAATCAAACCCAAACAGCAATAAACCTCAATTATGCTACTTTTAAGAATTTGGGTCATTTTACAATGTGGTTTCTAAAGAAAAAAGAAAAACTCAGAGAAAACCTTTACAGATATAAATTGTAGATAACTTTGTTTATTTTAATTTTTGTAATGTTTTTTTCCGATAATAACTATGGTGAAGGTACCAGTTATGGAAAGGTGACCCAGTGTTGGACAAGTTGGACTTTAAATGTAAATAATAAGCTTCCTTGTTGATTTAAAGATTCCATTTTTTCTAGATTGAAGAACTACGTTTTCTTTTGACAACTGTATGAACAACGTTGTCAAAAAAAATTTTAAATGCTTATCATTGTTGTTTCTAAAGTTGTGAGATCACAGTGTTAGTACATCCCTACTAGCTGTTTTGCTAAGAATAATTTGAACATTTCTGTTTTGTTTTTTTACATTTATAGTTAAATAAATATTTTATAACTTTTCTGAGGAATTTCTATTACTGGTACCGACTCCCTGTCAATTACTAGAACAATTAAATTTGGGGGTGTCCATCACTACTGCAAAAAGGTGTTTTTTTCAAATGGAGATTATACCTGCATAACTGAATATTTTTAAAATGTTGAATAGAAAAAGGAGATCCTGGAAATTCTAAATGTCCAACGGAGAAGTTTATAACTATAATAATTATGGCGGCATAAGCCAAAAAAGACAAAAATTTCCTTAGCTATGTATATCACTTAGCTTAGTCTAATAGGTTTCAGCGGTGAAAATCAAAACTTTAGATGTAAGAGAAAACCTTTTTTTTTTTTTTTTTATAGGAAATAGATGATCTCGTAAGGGGAAAATTTTCTTAATAAATTCATTTTTCATTACTTGAAGTTATAAAATTACAGAGGGAGGGACGGACGAACGGGCTAACGCATGTGCCAAACACGCTTTGCCCGGCAATCTGATAAACCGTAATGATAAGCCGTAAATGATAACATAGTTGTGAGTATGCGTCGTGGTACCTATAAGGCTTTTTAACTCTTGCATTAATTCCCCGCTCTCTCCCCTAGCGCTAGAAGAACCCCGTACAGTCTAAAAGAGCGGAAGGAGTGGACAAAAAAAAGTTATAATATTAAATCTGTGCCGTTGTCATTATTTTTTTAGTTTACTTATATTAAGTAAATATATTCTCAGATTGACAAAGTACGTGGGCAGGGTGGCCGAATGGGCTAACGCGTGTGCACTGCACCGTCGTTACCCGGCAACCTGATACATGAGATTTGATTAAAAAAATAGTCACGAGTTCGTGTCGAGGAACGAGGAGTTTTTAAATCCCCGCCCACACTCCCTGGCCCGGGAAAACACTCGTATAGCCTTAAAGGCGAGGAAGTGAAGGACAGAAAAAAAAAAAAAAGATTGAGAAAGTACTTTATTTTGAACTAACCTTCAATAGAAGGATGACATGGGACCCGTATGTAAGAATGAAGCAGAAAACCCTTAACTAACGTTCAAAACTCAAGCTGAGACGGAAACTGAATACAAAAACATGCTTACTTAAAGATATCTAAACTTAAAGATCGCAGAATTACGTTATCGCTAATAAGATCTACATACAAAAATCCAAATCTTCCAATCAAAATTTTTACTTTTTGACTCATCACAAAAGCACCTTGGTACGTGACTAACTATGCTCTACATACCAATCTCGAATAACCAACAGTGGACAAACATATACAGATTTTTTAATAACGATCTTATACAAATTTATACGTACCTGGTAACAGTTTAATAACATAAATGGCCTAGATCTGTCAACCCCTGAACATTAGAGGAGGGCTTGGATGAGAGATCTCCTTTCTTAAACATACGAAGTAACTGAAAAAAAAACATCAAAGAGATGATACTAATTAATGTACTTCGGCTTGTCTCATATGTCATTTTCTTTATTGTCATCTCATTTAATAGTTGTCAACACACAACAGATAACAAGTGCGAATAAATTTTTAGAGGTAGAAACAAAAAACGAATAAATCAGATTAACCCATGGACCCACTGTAAATAAATAAATGAAAATTTCTTATGATTATTGGTATAGAATTATTAGAAATGATTATATTTCGGGGTCTGTGTTTAAGGGAGAGAAGCTCTGAATTCAACAAAATATTTTAAGTCCTATCTCAATAACATATCCTCAATTTGTGCACATACGTAGCCTACTATCGGGCGGGAAGCAAAGAACTACATTCGCTATAGGCTAGAAACTAATTATAATGCATTTTACGTAATTGCAGAGCGGACTAGAGCCGGTGAGGGGTTGTGGCAAATGTCAGGGGATGCAGCGGCGGTGGTGGGGCGCCGGGTATATAGGCCTCTCCTAACATCCAAGTAGCTATCACTTCACCTTCCTAGTCCAAACAGCATCATTTCAGCAATGGTAAGCATACACCATAGGTATACCAAACCATAGCAAACCACATCCCCGATTTCCCGAAGCACGCTGGATTAAATCAGGGTCACGTATTAAAATTAATTTATTAGCGAAAAATCATGTCACAACATATTCGAAAAGTCTTAGATTTTTCTTAATTAAATAATTTTATTAGTATATTTAAATAATCCATTTTATAACTTTTTAAAAGTCAGTATTTATTTTAAGATATGATACATATTTGTTTTAAACGTCTAAATTTTTTTATGAATATTATAATTCACAACCCCAGTTGTATCTAACATTTAATACCGAAAAAAATATTATAAATATACAAATAAAAATTGAAAAAAAGAAGTATTAAAAATTATTAAATTTAATTTACAAGATTATTATTGAATTACAGTGTAAACTTAACCAACTATATAATTTATTTTCAAGTTTATTTATTTTCAGCCAACCAAACAACATCTCAATTATGACGTTTCGGTTCGTCGAGCCATTTTCAAGTCTAAAAGATATTTTTCAATTTACAATCATAGCTAAACTTTACATATTTCAAAATATAAAGATTTTTTATATACATAAATACCTTTATATATAAATAATAAATAAGTAAAATTGGCTGATAATAAATAAACTTGAAAATAAATCGTATGCGCCGAAGAAGAAGTGAGAAATATTTTGAATATACAATTTATTATTTTTTCACTCGGGTTTAATACATAGTTATTCAATATTGACTTCATTTATTCGTAAATCATTATAAAAATAGTTGTAAACTTAGTTTTATCAATCATTTCTGCCTTATCTTTTATTTATGTTTTCTTTATTCCAAAGAAATTTATAGATTTTCTTAAACAAAAATCTTCGGTTTAAGCAATTGATATAAATATAGAAAAATCAAAATAAAATGAGAAAATTATATTATAGCTTTATATTAACATATTATAAGTATTATAATATGTTAATATTTCAATATTTTAAAAAAGAACCTAATAGACGAATTTTCTACCCATGCAATTATATACAGTAAGACGACCGTATTTATAAGAATAAAGTAGATATTATGTTTAAACCCTAAATAATTTTCATTTAGGAATATAACAAATAATCTCAGTATATTTTGAAATCGTAAATTTTTATTTTTAATTGATCCTTTGCTAAATTTCATTCCTGCAAGGTATGTCACTACAACTTTAAAATACTACTAATTCCTGCAAGAAAACATAAATTTGATATATTAATTTTATTTTATAGTGATATTTCCTTTTTAAATATTGTAGTTATCACGGTTGCTCTCAATTTCCAAATTAGACTGAAATTTTTAAGAAGCAAAAATTCTCAAATCCCGTAACCTTGTGCAGACTTAATAATAAAAAGTTGTTTATTTTTTTTAACATCAATTAATAGAAAATAATAATACAAAAATAATAATAATATTGTAATAGTGACTTATTACACAGCGCCTGTGATGATCAGACCCGCAATACCGAACGGTTGACGGGTTGCATCTTCTCAGTTAAATAATCTCGTCTCTCTTCTGATCATACAAATGCGTTACTGCAACAATTTCATTAAAAAAGAAATTTCATATAAAAATTATTCATAGATTTTATAAAAATTATTTATAAATCATAAATTATTAATGAATCTGTTAAATCTCATTTAATTGACCAAAACCTAGCTAAATAATTTATATGAAGATTAAAAAAAAATGCCTTCCGCTATAATCTATTGTTGTTTAAATTGCCTAATGATTTAAATCTGTTATTCTTGGTCCATGATACTAAAACTCTTGGAGGGTCAAAACCTCCTGCAATTCATATCAACATAAATGAATTTATCCACTCTTCACAGCCGAGATCTTTCCACTTTCCTGGTGGCATATATTCTTCCCTTCATGATACTCCGAGGTATCTACTAGGGTGTCTTCCTTGCGGTATGAACACCGTTGAAATCGAAAGAAAAAAGCTTTTTGTGGACTCAATCACGCCTTAAACTCTGAATGACTATAGAAATATACAGGTCTAATCAGTGTCATACAGATACCTTCTTTGGTTGGTAGATTATTCTGCTTTTTAAACGTAAATGAAGATACCTTTTTTTTTTTTTTTGCAGTGTTTGTCTGGTATGGTTTCCTGGGGTTAAATTAACTAAATCGTAATACACTAAATATGTATATTTTATATTTCATTAAATTTGAGATGGTTTAATCACCATCTTATGTTGAGGGAATAGTTATTATTTACTTCAGGAAATGTCAATGTTTCTTTCGGATTTTTCATTATAATAAAGGATAAGGAATGAAAGCTTACTTTTCTCGCTTTTAAAGTATATCTAATTATTTGTTCACACAAATATTTGAGGGTTGTTTGATGGTCAATTCTGTATGTGTGTATACACACACACACATATATAACTTACCGGATTTTTTTTACGTCATTTTACAGTAAAATTTCTTGAGCCATTTCATAAACGATCCTATGAGGGATCAATAGTTGTTGGTCTCAGTTACCATGTGACGCTAAGAACTGTTCGTTAGCAATCCCACAGATTTGTCCATACACTTGTTCAGTTTTATATGTAAACCTACGCTTCGGGGGTTGTGCTGATAGTAACGCGATCCCGTGACACAATGATCAACTAAACCCGATATATGTTGTCACTGCTTGGCATCTTGATAAATGTCGGTCGTAATTAAAGTTGGTCACATTGACGAGGCGTGAAATCTTAGTTGAGAAAGTCTCGCCGTCAGTTCCTTCTTAAATTTACAGCATATGTAAATAATAATCCTTCCGTGATGTGTACATATGTGTCACAGGCGGGTACCATATGATAGCCCAGTTTGTTACGCAACAGACTGCGAACGCTGGTGAAGCAAGACAGATGCCCAGTCATATCCCTGCGTGTCTCTCTTTTCCTGCAAGTTTCAAACATGCTTACATATCCTGATATAATTACAATGTAGTAATTTATTTTGTTATGAAGTAGATTTACTTGAAAACTTTTACTTTTAAAACTTATTCATACCATTTAGTATATCGAATACATTAACCCATATCTATAACTCATATTCCAACTTCATAAGAAATCAAATTAAACTAGATAGTTTTAATTATAGAGGTACCATGTGTGTTTTTTTTTATTTACACCTTTCTATCTTTGATATAATACACCTTAATTTGATTACTACTTTTGAAGGTTTGTTCCTTCCCTATGGCACATTTTTATTGATTATATTTAGAATATAATAATGTTATTCTTCAAGACAGTTTGAGAAATACGTACGTTTCTTTCACACAGTAGTTGAATACATTTATATTAGTGTTTTTGAATCAAATTATTACATTGCAACCACCCAAAAAGAAAGAAAGAATGCATTTAGATTAAATAAATAATCAAACAAATTACAAAACTAAACTTGAATTATAACTGATAGAGAGATATATTGAAAACACTTTTGCGTCCTTTAATGTAATGACTTTAATTGAAAGAAATTAACTAATGCATGAAACATTGGACAGTTTAAACTCCTACACAGACAGAGCAACATGTCACAACGATACGATATTCTTGCCGGCGATGATCTGGTAAATTAGTGGTATTACTTTTGCATTATAGCAGTCACATAGAGCGCGATAATCCGCAGTGTTACCAAAGGGTATCGTATCGGCGAGACATATCGCGTTGTCTGTGTATGACCTTTAGAGGTCACAATCTTGTTAAATTTGGCTTTTTCGAATTCGGCGATTTCGAATCGCACAAGTAAAAGAAAAATCTCTCTATATATAATTTTAGATTATCCTTGATCGAAAAACATATATTATCAAAATATTTGAACTTTCAAGCAATAATTATTCAGAGTTTATTATTTTTTTTTTTTTAAAGTTATCAATCACTTACACTGTAATAATAAAGAAAATAACAGTTTTAAGTGTAAATAACAGAATTTTCAAATGTTTTATATGTATTACAAAATTTTGAAGAATTTTCTAGGAGTTCAATTATAATTTTATTTTTAGGCTTTTGGGTATCATACGGATGTGCATTTTTGACATCTAGTCTAGCCAGTTAGATCTTATTATTATATTCATCGTTTAAACCATAAAAATAATATCAATGTATTTATAAAACTATTTGCAATGGGACTCAGTTGCGGAGAATCAAAAAACTTTACCACCTAGAATAAAATGTTATACTTACAATTACTTTAGTAAAATTTTAAATTTTATCAGGAAAATAATAAATCTCATTAATTACTTATAATTAATTTATACTTATCATAAGTTTAAATCAAATCGTAAATTAAATAATATATTCCAATAATATATAAAAAGATCTGGTTTCTTCTAACCGATCATACTAATTGTTTCCTAATCGGACACTATTATCCATACGCAATATGGGAGTTCGCAGTGAAAATTATTTTATTAAATATGATTTATAAACTTGACTTAAACTTTTATTATTACAGAAACAGAAGATCACTTCAGAAGTAGGAATGTTAAAGTTCAAATACGATCTTGTATCTATTTTACTTTTTCTTTTTTTAAAATTGTATTCCTATTGTTATTTCTTAATTTTGTTGTGGTTTTGATGTAACATAACAATTGAGAAAAATAAAACTTTTTCATATATTTAATATTAAAGTGATAGCTTTGATGGAATCAATGATAGAAGACTAACTGGAAGTTTTCTGGAAAATTAATTTGGATATGTCAATAAATTGAATAATGTTATTGTTTTGCGCTCTTTACTATATAGACACTCCTTAATAAATTTATATTGTAAAATGAGAATTATATTGTATTTTATTCAAAAATCACAATTGTTTCAATATAATTAAAAATAAAATAAAATTTAAAACAAGGCTAAATCCACCCCCTAGATATCGATAGGCAGTGTCCTTGAAAATTAGAGGACGATGACAGTGGTGATTAACGAAGGACTGCGCTAATACCCTCTGAAACTGGATCCTTTCACCCAGAGCAGGTCACCAGTTGTTACGTCACGCGTATGCTTTACGTCTTTCTCACGGCTTTAGGATTGCCCTGCCTTCCTCCCTTACAACATACCCGTAAAGCTACTGGCCCAATCGTCAAATAGACAGCTAGCATTTTCCCCTCTCCATTACAACCTGTCCAATCGGTTTAATTATTTCTTGTTCGGTAAACTTAATGCATCTTGATGACTGCCATTCCCATTCTTAAAAAGTTTCCGATTTTTAACTTATTTTTTGTGGAAAAAGAATTTTTCCAATAAATATAAAAAGATATTTTTATAAATAAATATAAAAAAGTATTATTTTTTAGAAAATCATCTTGTTTTTACTTCTGTTTGATTTCGTCTTATGCACATTACATATTCTCTATAGAATTCAATATATCTATGTTGTTTTATTGCTATTCGATTATATCATTTGATTACATTATCATTTTTACTATTACAGAAGGTCCTATTATACCTGGCAGTAGTCCTAGCGGTGGTGTGCGCAGAGAAGACCACAGAAACAAAGTCGGCTGAGAAAGAGACTCCCAAGAAGAGAGGAGTCTTTGGCGAGAGCTTGGGCTACGGATCATTCGGTCACGGTATCAGCTCCGGTCTGTCCTTGGGCTCTGGCAGCTATGGCCATGGCATCTCCCTCAGCTCCGGTAGCTTGGGACACGGTGGTGGCCTGTCCTCCGGTGGTCTCTACGGTGGTAGCTACGGCGGTGGTTACGGAGGTGGATACAGTGGTGGTTATGGAGGTGGATACGGAGGTGGATACGGAGGAGGTAAATATCTCATGTTATAATCCAATGTAGTTTGTAAGTTTGACCTTCTCTGAATGTTGATTAAATCATATCTTTCAATTCTCCTTTTAAGGCTACGGAGTAGGAGGCGGACACCTCATCTCTAGACACATTACTATCAACAATAGAGTTGCAGTTCCCGTTCCACACCCAGTACCAGTTACTGTAGAGAAGCCTGTTCCAGTACCACACCCATACCCAGTCAAGGTTCCAGTAGACAGGCCATACCCAGTCCACGTCCCACATCCAGTCCCCGTCCCCGTCTACAAGAACGTTCCCGTGCCAGTCGATAGGCCAGTGCCCGTACCACATCCCGTTCCTGTGCCAGTCAAGGTACCCCACCCAGTTCCTGTCCATGTACCTCACCCAGTACCAGTTCCGGTAGTCAAGAACATACCTGTACCAGTTCCTCATCCAGTGGCAATCCACAAGCCAATCCCAGTCGCTGTTGGACATGGTTATGACTTCGGTTCCTCCCTCGGAGGTGGATACAGCGGTGGATACGGAGGTGGCTACAGCGGTGGATACGGAGGTGGTTACAGCGGTGGATACGGAGGTAGCTACGGTAGCGGATATGAAGGAAGCAAAATCTCCATCGGCTCAGGCTACGGATCTGGCAGTCTAGGAGGACATGGGTGGTAATACCAGGTGTGTTCAAATTACTTATTAGCTATTTTCCCTAGAATACGTTTAAAAAAATATATTACAAAATATTTTTTCCTTAAAGAATATCATGCAGGTAGAATCTTTTATTTCTTTTTTTCAATTCGTAAAATTTAATGTCGGCCGATCATATGGGTGTAAATGACTCAACATAATCAAAAGGATATTGAAATGATCTAAGTATAATTAAAAAAATATAATATTTTCAATTCAGTGAGTAAAATTGAAATTATCAAGTACATAACGCCTTTCAACACTCTGCTAGACCGTGTATAAGCGTACTTGTATAGCGGGTTAGTATTTATAATTAAATAAGGAAAAATAAAATAAAATTAACCAACATGGGATCTCATCCTTTCTTCCATAAAATGTTGTTAGTTAAGTTAATAATTTTAAAATTCGAATATAATAATATTTCTCATACTATTTTTTTCTCTTTGAATTGCAGAGTTAGAACCAAATTTTAGAAGGTCTCAACATCACGCTTCATCATTGACTTCATCACATTCATATTCATTGTAAATATCAACTCGTGATAAGCTCATTCATCATTAATATAAATATATATTTTTTATACAAAATAAAATAGCGTATTTATTTTCCTTTAGCTCAATTTTAATAACTCATCTTACTAATATCTAATATTTATTCATGTATTTGCAAATATTTGGATTCGTGATTCCCAATTTCATCAGAAGATTTGGTGATCTGAAACAATTAAATTTTATTTAAGTTATTATTGTATTCCCTCCTTGGTTCTTGAGGAAGAAATCCTTTTTTTTTTGTTTTTTTTTTGTTTGAGTATCAATTGACTTTAATTACCAAATTTTTACAATCACTATGTTTTTGTGAATTGTTAATAGTCTCTTTCTTTTTCCTTTATCTTGTGTACAATTAAATTAAATATGTCTCTATCTGAATATATCAATGTACCTATTACTTCATGTCGTTTGGAATACAACTCAGCCAGTGTTCATGAGATATAGCCTTCGGTAGATGGTATTCATTTCTGAAAAAAATCATTATATATACCGTATAAGTTGTATATTAAATTAATAAAAGACAGTAAAAAAAAAAGAAAATTATAATTTATCGTATTTTTTTATTAATTAATAAATTATGAAAACTCTCACATTGTGTAAACTTCAAGGATTCATCTCATATTAAGCTGGGATACATATGTATCCCATACATATGTATATTTTTCATATATTTTATACGGCAATCATTTATTATTTTATTTTTCCAGTTTTCTTAAAAATATAACAAAAATATGACTTGATCTACGGCTTTGAGCTCATACATCCTGGGACCTTCGTTCGATTCCACCTGAGGTACATAATTATTTGTTTTCTGATGTCAGCTATGTATATAAAATTAGGGAAAGAACATTTTCGTATTTTACTTGATTGCTTTGTTTTATAATAGATTTCTAGGACCAATAAACGTTTCACTACTGGGGACAAATGCAGACTTTTCAGAGCCTTTGAATCAAAGACAGACTTAACAACACACCCATCAGGGTTGTGCATCACTACCTCTCCCCCTCCTCCATCCCCTAACGTTGATGGCGCTTTAATCTCTCCTCCTTAGAAGATATTTTATTTTATGAAATATAAAAGATCTTTTACATTATATTAAAAGATTTTTTTTTTTATAATATTAAGAAGATAAAAATAAGTTTTATTGCTTCCCTCATCTTAAAAACAGTGAAAGCGAAAGTAGATTTTATTACATCGTAGTTCATATCCGGTCTGTTTCAAGTTGTCCTCTTGCCCCTGGTTCGATACTTTTCATCCCGAAAATAAAAAATTCAAAACTCTGACGAATTTCGTCACTTTAAGACTTTTGATGGAGCAAATTGCGCGCTGTAATCCTATTCCTAAGATATATTTAATTTTTTTTATGGTTTCTAACACTTGACCAATTCAGTTTTAAGGAAAAGTTCCAGTAAGATGTCAAAGAGATGGTAAATAAGTCACAGAATAGAATGATAACAAACTAATTGTACCAACAAAACATTCATCAATAGATAAAATATTATTAAATTCATTAATACCCCAACATTTCTTACGGAGAAGAATGGATTCTATCCCCGAGTATATCCTCTGATAGAACTGTGTTGTTTTGGACTTAAAGCTTTGTAATAACGAAAAAAACATAGAAAATTATATAAATTAAGTTTTAAAGAATTTGCGGTAAAGTGTGTAACACAAAACTTTTACTTACCATCCTACTCACAGTAATTGTTTTTTTTAATATATTTATTTATTAATCCACACCTGTCAAAAATATTAACAATCAGTGAGTTTGCTGTCAGGAAGAATATGCATATTAGTATTAGTATTGATCGGTTTGAGAGAGCGCAGTTCCCAGCGGGCTCTCTGGCTGTCTTGATTTTAGTATGGATTTTTAAGCGAGAAGATCTCTCATTCAGCTTTTTTTGAGCCTTCTAAGTATGTTATCGGTCCTGCTAATTGTCATCATATCTTTTATGAGAGTTTTAGGATGTCCGTGTAAGTTATTGTGAGTTTTTTTGTGGTGTGTACGTATGAGGTCTTTAAATGTTGGCATGTGTAGTTCTTTATGTAAAGTAATATTCGTGACGTACTATGCAGCTTTAGTTATATTTCTGAAAAGTTTGTAGTTTTCGTATGTGGGTCGTTTTTAATTCCCATATACCTGTGAAGTATAACTCCAAATGGGAGTACTTTATTTATTACTTTACTTATGTACCTTATGTACATAAATTTATGTACATAAAGTACATAAATTTATGTGTTCAGTTTATGTTTTAGGTTTAAAGTTGAAAGTCTTGAGAGAAATGAGTGTAATAGTCATTGTTTCAGGTTTAACGTTATTCGTTTTTTGTTTATCTGTGGGCTCCGTGTCATTTTCCTATCAAATATTACTGCAAACATTTCTTTGCCTGCTTGAGAAATTTGAACATTGTATTGGTAAATTGGAGGGAATGTTTCATGTATGGGGGTGAAAGAAATGTGTTGGGATTTGTCGTGGTTGAGTCGAATTTTCCAAAGTTTGCACCATTTATTTAGTTTTGTTAAGATGTAAAGTCTATGCGGCATGTTTACAATTTTTATGTCTTGATAGGATCGTTGCAATAGTTCCGGTACAGTTTGCAATATCGTGTGTATATATTACGTACAACTGTGGAGCGAGTACTGACCCCTGATAGCCCTGGAGCCAGGGCCCAAAAATCGACCTGATCGCAGGCGAAGGTTTGATTGTAAATTACGAAAGTGTATGTTATTCTGAAAAAAAAAAATCTTGTCTGCCGTTCCGGAGCCGCTGCTTTAAAAAATGGCGGCTGATTTAAAGAATATTAGGCCTATAATTTGAGGATCGAAACGAGAAATGCATTGCAAAAAATGTGAGAAAAGTTTCTATTTTTCTAGCTTGTATATATGGGTTTAGACATGTAAAAAACAAAATTGCTAACGCAGGCCACCAAGGGAAACCTTTTTACAGCCAAAAAAGTAATATTTTTTCGATATTTTTAGGGTTTTTCATCTATAACTCCTAAACAATGTATCAAAGCGAAAAATGTGTTCTTTAATAAATTAAGGAACGTCAAATTTTGCGTCAAACGAGTACAAAAACTTTAAAATTTGGTTTCGCGGTAAGGTATAAAAGCACGGTTAACCAACTCTGAGTTTTACCAAATTTGCCAAAAACTGGGGCAAATTACTATAATTGGCCCTGTAACTTGGAAATAAGTTACCTAAGAGGAAAAACCCATAGAATCAAAGTTGTAGAGCATCAAATTTTGCGTATACTGGGTACTGACATGCATTGTTTAGGAGTTATAGATGAAAAACTCCAAAAATATCGAAAAAATCTTACTTTTTTGGCTGTAAAAAGTTTTCCCTTGGTGGCCTGCGTTAGCAATTTTGTTTTCTACATGTCTAAAACCATATATACAAGCTAGAAAAATAGAAACTTTTCTCACATTTTTCGCAATGGATTTCTCGTTTCGATCCTCAAATTATTGGCCTAACATTCTTTAAATCAGCCGCCATTTTTAAAAGCAGTGGCTCCGGAACGGCAGACAAGGTTTTTTTTACTCAGAATAACATACAATTTCGTAATTTACAATCAAACCTTCGCCTGCGATCAGGTCGATTTTTGGGCTCTGGCTCCAGGGCTATGCGAAAATCCTGGTAATGCTGGTCTAATGGAATGGAAGTTCTGAACCCTGGCAAACAGAAATGCAATTTGTCATAAAGTAGGATTGAAGAATAAAATAATATGTAGGAGAAAGTAACGTCTTAAGAAGGAGTATTTATGTCGCTCAAGCATTTGATACAGTCTTGCAACAGGAGCTTCTCTTGAAACTTAAGACCTAAAATTAATTTTAAATAAATTATGTCGTTTTAGAAATATTAATATTCCTACAAATATAGACCCAAAATTTTACTATAAAATTCACTCGGTCTATACGCTATTTATTTTTTCTTCTTCTTTCTTCTTAATTCTTTAAAGCTGTGATTAAAGCTTAAATTTATCATTTTAGTTTCTATTTTATATAATATGGGTTTATAGAAACATTTCATGGCTTTGTTTCAAAAAGGTTTTAACTGCATTTACTATAATTTTAAAAACAGAGCTTCAAAAGTTACAATTTACTGTATGCATATTTTGTTACTTAGACTAACAATTTCTTTGTAAAGTATCTTGAAGCGGTGAATTTGCATAAGAATGTCATTAAAAGATTATGACTTGATTGTACCACTTATCCACACATATATTATTACAGTAGTAAGGCTCGAAATCGGTTTTGTACCAAATATAAGTTCCTGTCATGCTCAAATACCATGAATGGGGTACCGTTGGATTCAGAATTTCACGGAGGGTTAGCGAATCGTATTCTCCACTTTTGTTTTTCTTTCTAAAATAAATTAAATCGATACAAACATTCTGCTAGACTTCGATACTAAAACGGTGGTAGGTCTGTAGATCGATAAGGGACAAATTGGATCTTGAAGATTTTGATGCGTACAGCAAGACCCGGATAGTTCTTTCGGAACCATCGGATCCTGCGTTTTTATGCCCAAAAACGTACTATTTTCGAGATAACGCAAGGCATAGGGTTCGCATCCACACAACCTTACGTTAATTATAGTACTGTCATTGAATACATGTCTCATTTCGTCGACCTGAGGTCTCTATGATCGAGAGAGGAGAAGTTTATATTATTTATCGATGGTGTTTTTGATTGGCAAGCCATGTCATCGTCAATTTTTCACCAAATCTCAAGATTAAGCCACCAATTTCGAAGGCTTTCTTCTCCTTCAGGAGGGCAAACTAGTCCAATCAACTCAGGCAATTAAGTTATGAAAGAAAACGAACTTTATTTGCGAATAACTAAAAAATTACACACTTTACCCTTGGTTATGCCCATGATTATATAAAAGATTACTAAATTCCCTACAAAAGGAAAAAAAATCATTGAAATCGAACAATTTTTAGCAAAGATACAGCTTACTGAAATTTGTAAACATGTTGGTTCCAAACAAAAATGAAGATTTAAATTAATTTTGTTTTATTTGTCGATTATATTTATCGATAAAATAACATTTGATTTTGATACGTTGCATTTTTTTTTTTTGTTTATTTAATGGAATTTACAACTGTATACAAATACAACTAGTAAATACGCGCAAATATAAATAATGGCATGTACAGGCT